GCCGTATCCGTACCGTACCCGTACTAAAACTTCTTGGAAATTTCTTGAATATATGCACATGTCTGTTCAAACTTATACTCCATTATAGACCACATTTTTAAATTTAAAATGCTCCTCAAACACATCTTGGATGTATATTCTACACATCTATTTCTAATATATTGATCTTATGTAAATGAAAAAATAATATTGATCTTATGTAAATTATTAATTTTAACACATATAAATATATATAATATACATATTTATAGCTTTGTCCCTGTACCCTACTTTTTACAACTTTGTCGTGTCTCATACCCGTGCCTGTTACATATGCAGCAGAGGTGTTGCGACATCACATTACATTAGAAAAAACACATTTGTTCCAAGAAGTATAATTTCAGCTAGCACAGTTGGAAAAACATGTCATAGATTTTCATGGACATATGATTTTCCGCAAGTTAATTATGCGACTTACACATAAACACGAAACCAAACCAATTAAAGGTAGAGCATGTCATGCCCCCAGCTACTAGGAAGGTAAGGAGGTTCCATAATGACTCTCTCCGAAACAAAACTACTTCTGCGTAAAACGTAACTATAAAACTAACTGATAAAGGACAAGGTCATAGATGCTCTAACTTCTAAATGTTGACCCGCTCAGTGCAAAACTAAATAGAGGATTGAAAACCAAAAAAAAAAAAAAAAAAAAAAAAACAAACAAACCTGCATATATCTAGCGAGCACTAGAAAATCAGTATCTTCAACCAATGCCAAGATCTCTTCTTCCCTTTTGTTTGTTTCCGTGGTCGGCAAGTAATGATACGGGATCCCATGCCTCTCCAGGAAACGTATGACATGAGTGTTTGGAGCTCTGTCGTGATTGCTGGGAACACATACAACGTACAGCTTTCACAGAAGTCGGCTTATTGATCGAGGGACGACTTGCGACAAAAGTTGAGTTAGCCCGCGCGCTTACCTTATCACACAGTTAATATTCACCGGAAGCCTTCCCTCCTGCCATCCGTATAGTAAATCAACCAGACAGTGTTCCTGTAACAGTAAAAAATAAGTCCCAAGTGAAAATTGTAAAAACAAAAAAAACACTAGAATATCTAGCTAAAAGCAAGTAGTGTTAATTAAAATTATACTTAATTATGAAGAAGCGTCAAATTTGGAATGGAAAACCCCCACCTGCTTCGAAGCAAGAATTGCTATCGTGTATCTTGGGTCAAGATCAGGAACCCGGACGATAGATTTCTCGGCGTTGAAGAGCTTGGACAGAGTCAGGAAGTCGTTGTCCATCGCATCCCGTGGCCAGCGTGCATGATCAAAAACGAACTCGCTGCAAATTAATTTCCGTTGACGTGTAGATTTAATTAGCTAGACACCCTTCAACTGCGTGGAACGCCAATGAAATGCATGAATACCCACACAAACAAGGCAGCCAACCGTACGGTCAGACATGAAACCATTCCGGCATTTCAAAATTAATTTTCAGCTAATTAATATATACGTGTACTGATATATATATATATATAGTCGCCTCTTAATTATCTTTTAACCCGCGACGTACCCATTAAAATGAAAAAATGAATTAAAAGACCGCTCGCGCCAAAAACAAACCTCCGAGAGTAGAAGACCCGCTTGGTCTCGGGAGCGAAGACGTCGAAGCTGTGGATGTTGTCGCCATGGGAAGTGATGCTTTCCGAGATCCACCGAGGAGCAGGGCGTGGGATGCTCGACTGAAGAAGAACATTTTGGACCCAATTTCGTTTTCCTTTTTATTTCTTCTTCTTTTTAATTACCATTGAATGAGGATGAGGACAATAGAGTCTTCATCTTTTTTACTTTCTTTTTTGTGGTTGGAGAGCATTCCTTCGTGAGATCGAGGATGTTGGCTGGCGTTGCTGCTGCTTTTGTGTATATATGTTGCTAGCTGTAAGCCTTGGAATGTGGTCTCCCTCTCTCTCTCCCCCCGTCTCAATTTTAATGCTTTTTTCTTGAAAAATCATAGCCATAGATTACTTTAGTACAGGGATAAATTAGATAAAATAAATAAAGATTGCAGAATTATAATTCCATAATAACTGTAGATCCGAAAATATCCGGCTAAATTTAAATGTTAATTGCATATGGCTCTAGAAATTGAATTTGGAAACGAAAGCGGCGGGGGTTGTTTAATTGGCCTACTTGGAGCGTAGGATTGTTGGGTAGTTGTCCAAATCTTAACTAGCTTTCCCAAATCTGTAACCACCGCTAATAGAGAACTAGAAAGAGGGAAAAAACATAAGAGCTTTAGAAAATTACTACAAATAGCAAGTAGAGCTAATCAAATCACGAAATCTAACCTAATAATGTACCCATACAATAAACTAGCTTTTAAATAAGTTTCTCATGGTTCATTGTGTTCAAAATAGAAACTCATTCTTTATTTATTTATTTATTTATTTCCCCCGTCACACAAACATCTCTTACCCCCCTCATGTTTCATCTGACATAACAGGGTTCCCATGATAAAATTATAGGTTTCTTTATATATTAGTCCCTTAAATCTTTAGTATTTTGATACTAGTCCATCAAGTCTTCATATTTTGACATCAGTCCCTCGAATTACCATGTTGTGTTGATATTAGTCACTGTGGTTAGTTGGTGTTTATAAGGGACTAGTATCAAAATATGAAGATTTGATGGACTAGTATCAAAATACTAAAGATATAAGGGACTAATATCGAGGGAAAAAAATCTAGGGTTTTGATATATAAAGAGAGTAGGAATCCTGGTGGAAAGTGAGGGAGATGGAACTAATTAAGTTTGAATATACAACTATAGAAGGAGAGGAATACAATATGATTTGTGTTTATTTAGAGATGATCTTGAAATTTTAAGAAAATATCACTTAAAACCTTATCCCTCCTCTCCCATTCCATCCACTTCAGGAAGGTCAAGGAAGTAAGAATTTTTTTCTTTTTAGTCCTTATCTCTCACTTCCTAAAAAATTTAACCGACTACAATTTTAGAATGATCAGCATTGTAACCTTCCTAACTTCTTAAAAAAAAGTAACCCACACCCTGTTTTTCTATAAAATAAAGTTTAGGTGCCGAGAGGTTTCAACTTGCAGCTTCTATATAAAAAAAACAAAAAATAATTTAAAGAGGAACAAAAAAAAAACTATTTACACTACCATGAACAAGCAATCAACAACCCCCAATTGACAAGCTAATAACGACCGCCTTTAGAAGTAGGGTAATTATTAGAAACCCCCCTTCAAGTTTAATCATTTTATTACGAAACATCATGCCGTTACTTTTTTGTTATGAAACCCACTGAATTTTTATCCCCTTAAGAAAGAAACCCCCTACTGTTGAAAGATAGTTAAGTTCTAAAAAGCATGTGCAAATCACATGCATACAATTATGTCAAAACTATCCTCTTTTCCTTCCTTAAAACCTTCTTTTTTTTTATCCCTCATTCTTCCTCCTAAGCATAATTTGCAAGAGCTTTTTTCATCTACATTATTGGCTGGATTACGTACCCAATAACCAAATAAAGGACAGAAAGGGTCCCTTAGCTCTTGACGAACATTAGAGAGGTAGCTTAATCTTTGAGTATCACAAACTTAACTGTTTATTGTAGATTAATCTTTGAGGGAGAATGAAGAAAAAGTGAAAGGAAATTAGGTAAACGTATTTTGCGGCAGAAGAGGGTAATTTTGGCATAAATATATGCCTGTGACTTGCGCATATTCTTTTTGATAGAACTTAACAGTCTTTTCAACAGCAGGGGATTCAAAAAGATAACGACAAGGGGCTTAATAATAAGTAACCAACTTCAAGCGGGTTCATAATAATTACCCTTAAAATAGTTAAAAAAAAAGGGTTAGTTTCATAAAACTCCCCAACTTTGGAGGATGTCGCGCTAAACAGCCATGAACCATTTTCATTGCACTAAACCCCTATGAACTTTAGGGATATTGCATAGAATCCCCTTGGAAATTTTTATCACACTAAATCTCACTGTAAATTCCTCGTTTAAATACCCAAAATTAGCATCATCAACTCCAAGATGTCAAAAGAGACGGAAAATTCGAAAATAAATACCCTCTATTATAAAAGACAATATTACAAGAATCTGAGGGTATATTCATTTTTTTCATGTGCTTATCACAAGACATTAGCTTTGATGGTGTGCTAATCAGGGAGATTAAATGAGAAATTTTCAAATGAAATTTAGTAGAGTAAAAAAAAATGTAGAGGGGCTATATGCAAATAATCAATAAAGTTAAGGGGGTTTAGTGCAATGAAAAAGCTCCGTGGGGTTTAATGCAACACCTCCCAATATTCAGGGGGTTCTCTGAAATTAACCCTTAAAAGAATTATTTAAACAGTAATATTCGCAAAGCTATGAAAAAGGACACAAGTAAAGATATCAGATATTTTCAATATATTTTCCTTGCGTCCATAATAAATATGATCTCATTAATTAATCAAATAACACAAATTATAAGAACATTAACTTTTACTCCAAAACACATATTCAGGGAATTATAAAATCTCTTGTATATCCTGATATTAATTTGTCCAGAACAGTATGATCAAAATTATCCGTAAAGCATCCAGAATATAAACTGTAAATACTCATAAAATTGGAATTTAACTGAAAATTGGTTCTATCAAGTCTCCTGACTGAATTTGATGTCTAGCGAAAGAAACCCCTCACCTGGTAACTCTGTATCCCTGCAAAGAGACACGGGAGTTTCTATCAATTATCAAACCCAAACAAGATAAATTTAATTTTGTGACAAAGAATCTGTGTTCCCATCTGGATCACACTTTGTTCCTTGGACCAAGATCTTACGAAGATTCAGATCTTAGGAGCCCCAAATAAAAGTTACCTTCACAGTTTTCAACAATTCTTTTGCAGTGGGGTCGTTTTTGAAGTGATCACGAACAGGCTGCAAGTAGTAGGTCAATAAGATTATTAAACAACAAGACAACAAGGGGGGGGAAATGAATTAACATAGGCAAATGAGATTATTACACAAGACAAGTGAAGTAATAATGTAGGCAACTGAATTAACCAATAGTATAGCTAACATTTGCTAACAGAAGCACCTTAAGGCTTGGTTTGGTAGGGAGGGGAGGTAGAGTAAGGTAAGGTGCAAAATTAAAAATTGTCTTTGGTAGGGAGTTTTTAGAGGGTAAGGTGAAGTGTAGTGAGACAAGGAAAGAGAAGGTGCAAAATGAATTAGAAAGTGAATAGAGAGAAAACCCCTCCAATTTGGAGGGAGGAGAAAGAAGATGCAAATTGAACTAAAAGAGTGAACAAGGGAAAAGGGCTCTGTGAGAACAAGAAACATAGCAGGCAAGGGAAGAAGACTTCCAAAAGAAAAAGTAGAGATTTTGATATGTTTCTCAGAGAACATAGGAGATGTTGACATGTTGTGAATCTCATGCAACCGGCTTGCCATTAACTTGTTTCAAGTAAGAATTCCATACTATCAAGAATTCCATACTATCAGCTTTATAAGAAAAAACACTGAACTTAATTTGAATTCCTCTACTCCAAAAACCACTAACTAGACTAGAACAAAGTCTAGGAATTGCAATCATGGAATTACAACTCATAATAACCAAATAGGCCTAAATCTGCATATGCCAATTTCAGATCGGATTCGGATCTAGAAACAATCTGGAAAAAATTTTGGTGACTATCAAAAATATGGGTGCACTTCAAGCGAAACCGCAAAAACATTCAGATATAGAATTATATAGTATGATATATATAATATCATATTATACTATATATATAGGGAGTACTCCGTGAGGGATGTAATGGGTATCGCTTGTCATGAGGAGGGAGATTCTCTCCCTTCGTCGGCATTCATCGCCTGGCGGGGGCCATCCTAGATCCCCACCATCCTACAATAACACAGTACCGCACACAATCCCCCCCCACGCACTCATATCTCCTCTCCTCCTAACTTTGATAATCGGTGTGCGGAGATTGGGCCACCCAGTAAACGTCAAGCGAGCGGAAGATCCCGCTCCTATGACCAAGGATATGCCCATCTAATCTACTATATATAACATTATACGTGAGCGGCATAGAAGTAAAGCAAGAGACGAGCAAATATCGGGTATCGCTCTCGGCTACGGCGAAGCACAAGAAAGTTGTGCTTGTAGTCGAGCGTGTAGAAAAGTCCATCATCCACTCATTCAATTGTGGCAACAAAATTACATGGTTAGTGAGTGGAATGGCCGGGATGTGACATATCACTACCGTAAGCACGAAAATTTGTGCTGGTACCAAGCATACCCATGATTTTCTTCATATCATCTAGTATAGTCATAATATATATATATATAAATAAGGCTGTACCTACTATAGTATATAGAGAGAGAGAGACAGAGAAATGAGTATGCTCTGGTACCTCCAGGTGCCCCCAAGCATAAAAAGTTGTGTTGGTAGTGAGGTGGCATAATCCCCTCCACTCATTCAAATGATGCGCATATGCCCCACATGCACCTCATCAAGCTCATGTGAATGTGGTCCCCACAATTGAATGAGTGGAGGGGACTTATGTCACGCGCTCACTAGCAAGCACGACAAATTTGTGCATTGGGCTACGCCGCAAACATACCCCATATTTTCTCATATATAAGGTAGCGTATAGTATATACTATATCATACGTACTATATCATACTATAGTAAATATACCTAGCAAAAATATAGAGAAATATGGTTATGGCTTGGTAGCCGAAGCACAATATTTTGGTGCTATGGTATGCTGTTGTTCAGCATCCCCATCCATTCCCTACCCGAGGTGAACTGTGGTCGCCAAATTGAATGATGAGGGGGATGTGCACACTCACTACCCAAGCCACAAACTTTTTGTGCTTGTACCCCCAAGCATACCATAATACCTCTCCTCTCCTCTCTCTCTCTCTCTCTCTCATAAGTTATATACTCATACTTATAGCACCGTACCGCTATACTATAATATATATATATCTATAATCTATATATTCCAGCTTCTTGCGTAGTATTTTTTGATCTCCACCAGATTTAAGCTCTTACTGAAAGAAATGAACTGAAGATTTGGGTTTTTAGAATTGGAATGAAGCTGTGGACAGGTAACAAATCCATGTTATGTGTGCAGGGCTTATACACGCGTATTCAGCCTCGTTTCGGCTGAGAACCCACTAACAATTAAATGTATATGACAATACTACTGATCATAACCTCAGTTAAGCCATAATTAAAAAACTCTTGATGTCAGCAACTAATCTTAGTTTCCCTTCTAAAAAATTGAAAACCCAGTACCATTAATAAGCAGAACTCACGCTCCAGTAAATACCTGAGTTGACAAAAGTTATGGGACCACATATAGGTGAGACCCAAATTTTGACATACTGATAGATAAAATCTAATTTGTACGGAGCTAGTAAATTAAGGTTTTGCAAGGAAATTATATCCCAAAAATCTAAAAACGGTGAAGGTCAAAAAAATAGTTTAAACATATGAAGAGTTTGTGAAGTGTGGGACACTAGTCGCAACCTTGTTTAAGTTTTTGATGCGTAAAGGTTTTTTTTAATAATGATAATAATATATTAATATCTCGACCTCGGGCTTCAGCATGTGGATCCAAGAAAAATCATATCAACTAAAACAGACTTCTGCCCATGGAAAATTGTAAAATTTGGAAATATGCTTAAAGTTTGTAAGATTTTAGTTTTTCTTATGATTTCAATTTCAGTTACTATTTCAATTATAGTTAGAATGAGTGGCAAATTTATTTGATGTTAATTTTTTTTGTTGCTATCTTTCTAGGAATTTGTTTTCCCTATAGTTTGTTCCTATAGAAGGGATTGTACTTCTTCATTTTGAGGGACGAGAGAAGAATGGTGTAAGCTCAGGCTATGAGAGTTATCCAGCATGTGAGTTGTGGGGAGTATTATTTTAGCATGCGAGTTGTCTGGGTGTGAAGCCCAGATTTGTATCTTTTCTTTAATAAATGATGAGTGCAATTTCAATATGTCCATATTTTTTTGTTATTATTTCGTCCTAGCATCCGATCTGCATTACCAAGACAGTTGCTCTTGGTAGAGATTTAAGGTGAAAAATTGAATGAAAGCAGAATACTTCATATACTACCTACATATTAAATCATTCTCAGTTGATTGACAAAAGAGAACATTAGCTTTATACTTGGACTAAAGAACAAATGAAAATCTAACAATCGGGAACTTTGAAAGATGAATTGATATTGATATTCAAAAAACCACTCTCATTAATATTGTTAAAGTAAGAGAGAGAGAGAATCTTGGGTAAATTTCCCTTGAATTGAATATTGAGTGTGCACATATATTTATACAAGTAGAGGAGTGTGAGGTTTGTTCTCCCAAGCAATGTGGGACTAAAACCCACTACAATACACTATTATCAACAGCCCCCTTCAAACTCATGTTGGATCAAACAAAGTGAGTTTGCGTACAAGAAACTGGAACCGATGAACAGGTAAGGCCTTTGTGAAGAAATCTGCAAGCTCGTCAGCGGATGAAACATGAGGAAGTAGAATTGTCTTGTCCTTGATAACTTGGTGACGGACAAAATGAGCGTCGATCTCAATATGTTTGGTCCTTTCATGAAATACTGGATTATTAGCAATCTGGATGGCACTCTTATTATCACAGTAGAGAGGAGTAGGAGTCGTAACAGAAATACCGAAATCACTGAGAAGGCGACGAAGATGAATAATCTCTTTAGCTGTTGTGGACATTGCACGATACTCTGCCTCAGTACTGGAAAGAGCAATAACATCTTGTTTCTTACTTCGCCAGGAAATAAGGGAATCACCAAGAAATATACAATAACCTGTGGTAGACTTTCTGGTAGTTGGATCACCAGCCCAATCAGCATCAGAATATGCACAAAGCTCTAACTTAGATGTAGCAGGAAACAAAAGTGAGCGAGTGCTAGTACCCCGGAGGTACCGAAGAATCCGTAATAAGACAGCATAGTGTACAGAACGTGGGGCACTAACAAATTGACTGACAATACCAACAGCATGAGAGATATCTGGTCGAGAGATGCACAAATAGACCAACTGACCAACAAGATGTCGATATCGGGTAGGATCAGATAGAGGCTCACCGTCAGTAGAGCAAAGTTTGACATTCTGCTGGAGTGGAGTATCGACAGTTGTATTATCAGTTAACTCAGCTTGATTTAGAATATCTGAGAGATACTTCTGTTGAGACAGTAATACACCCCGCGGGCCTTGAGAAATTTCTAGACCAAGGAAATACCGAAGAGATCCAAGATCCTTCATGTGGAACTGTTGTTGCAACTGAGATTTTGCGTATTGTATACCTGTCATATCATCACCTGTAATGATCATATCATCTACATAGATGAGTAATAAAACCCTGCCACGCGATGTAGTGCGAACAAACAGAGAAGCATCTTGATGACTTTCTATAAAGCCCGCTTTGAGCACAACATCGCGAAAACACTCAAACCAAGCGCGGGGTGCCTGTTTGAGACCATAAACAGCACGACGAAGGAGACATACATGTCCCGGAGGAATATTTGACCCTGGAGGCGGTTGCATATATACGGTCTCTGATAAAGAGCCATGAAGAAAAGCATTTTTGACATCCATCTGGTATAAGGGCCAACGATGAGCAGCAGCGACCGCAAGGAGAGTACGCACAGTGGGCATCTGAGCAACAGGAGCAAAGGTCTCCTCATAATCAATACCTTGTTGCTGAGTAAAACCTCTAGCCACTAAACGAGCTTTTCGACGTTCAATGGTGCCATCAGGACGAAACTTGACCTTATAAACCCATTTACTGCCAACAAGAGAGATCCCAGGAGGACAGGGAACAATATCCCAGGTATGAGTTTGCTGAAATGCTTGAAATTCCTCAGCCATAGCTTGTCGCCACTCTGGAATTTGAACTGCCTCTTGGAAGGACTTTGGCTCAACAATAGTATGAATGGCAGCAAGAAAGTTATGAAAGATAGGTGAATAAGAAGTAACAGAAGCATACCGGGCAGGCATGACATGTGGGCGTTTGCCTCGACGAAGAGCAAGAGGAACCTCAGGCGGGGGAGATGCTGGCGCAGGTGCATGAAGATCAACAGTATTTTCTGGAGTGAGAGTTGTGTCCACAGGATATGGATTAGATGGTGTAAGAGAAGACTCAGGTGAGGAAGAGTCAACAGAAGGAGAGGGAGAGATGTCAGGGAGATCTCGAAAGGAAAATTGAGGTGAAGAAGTGGGTGATGCAGTGGACGGGGAAGCATGATCGGTAGAGTGGAGGAAATTAAAGTCATCAGAAGTAGAATAATATGGAGAATCCTCTTCGAACTGAACATGACGAGATATATGAACTCGACGAGTTGCGGGATCATAACAACGATAACCTCGATGTTCTGAACTAATTCCTAAATAAACACAAGAAACTGCTCTGGGAGACAATTTATCACGTTCGTGAGATGGCAGAAAAACAAAACATCGACAACCAAAAACGCGAACTAGATCATAACGGGGAGGATGAGTATAAACACGACTATAAGGAGTAGCACCGGAAAGAGAGCTAGATGGAGTGATATTAATGGCATGAGTCGCGGTGAGAATAGCCTCAGCCCAGAAACGACGAGGAACAGAGTAAGAAATGAGCATTGATCGGGCAGTATCGAGGATATGACGATGTTTGCGTTCAGCAACACCATTTTGCTCATGAGTGTAGGGACATGACTGTTGAAAGATAGTCCCATGAGAGGACATGATAGAGCGCATGGCAGAGGATAGGTACTCTTTGGCACAATCAGAACGAAAAACTTTAATACGAGATTGCCATTGAGTGAAAATCATAGCAGTGAAGGCTTGATAAGCAGTAAGTACGTCAGAGCGATTCTTAAGTAGGTAAACCCATGTAAAACGAGAGAAATCGTCGATAAAACTAACATAATATAAGTAGCCAGATGAAGAAGGCAAAGGAGCTGGCCCCCAAATATCAGAATGTACTAAATCAAATAAGGAAGTGGATACAGATGTACTCATTTTAAATGGTAAAGCAGTGAATTTAGCCAATTTGCAACCAGCACATGACTCAATACTAGAACTAGATGATACAGGACCAAGTACTCCAGACTGAATAAGACTCTCCAGCCTTTTATTACACACATGACCAAGTCGTCTATGCCATAAATTGGCAGGAAGCGAGGTAGAGGGTTTTGACGAACAAAGAGAAGCAACAAGAGAACGTGGACGTATGGACTCTGGAAGGTGAAGATATTCCAGAAAATACAGTTTGTGCCTCCTACGACCCGCCCCAACCGTCTTGCCCGTCTGTGGATCCTGCACAATACAAGTATCAGAAGAAAATGAGACAAACAGGCCCGCCATGCATAAAGAGCTAATAGAAATTACCCGAAGGTTAGAATGAAACCCGAAGGTTTAAAATAGAACCCGAAGGTTAGAATGAAACCCGAAGGTTTAAAATAGAACCCGAAGGTTAAACGAGAACGCGAAACGCGTTAAGAGGCCGCAAAACGACAAGGCCAAAATATCTGGCAGATGAACGCCAAATAATTAAAAATAAAAATAAAAAAAATAAAACATTAAACGGCTGCAAAGCAATAAGGCCAAGATTTGGCAAAAGAACGCAAAAGCGTTAAAAATTTTATTGAAAGGGAAATAGCCCTATCTCTGATACCATGTTAAAGTAAGAGAGAGAGAGAATCTTGGGTAAATTTCCCTTGAATTGAATATTGAGTGTGCACATATATTTATACAAGTAGAGGAGTGTGAGGTTTGTTCTCCCAAGCAATGTGGGACTAAAACCCACTACAATACACTATTATCAACAAATATTACACGGCAACATAGCAAGGAGAAAATCTAAGCAATAATAAAAAAAAGATAGTTACCTGTAGTATCTGATTTAGTGCTTTGGAGAGAGCAGGCTTTACATCAGCTGGATGCAATGCACCACTCTCATAGTCTACAACTAGCTCCTCCATACTGGTAAATTTTCTGAAAAACAATGCAATAGTTTCCTAGTGAGAACACAATACTATGCAAAAAAAAACCCACATATAACTAACAGAGTTAGCATTCAGATCTGGATTAGTAAGATAGCAAGAATTCGGTCAACTAAGTTAGAAATGCATGAAAAAATTAAAACAGTGGCAATGGTGCTGTTGGTGGTGGTGCTGGTGGTACTATTACTAACAATAATAATTCTCAGTGTATTGCTACTACGCCAAGTATCATTTACAGAATGCTACGGAGAGCACAATTTTACTTCTTAGTAAGAAGTAAGAACCAAAAATTTAGCAGCAAAACACTTATACACGATCAGTTAATATAAAGTATATAAATACATCATTCGGCAACTGGAATGGGCCAAAAGGGTCTTCATGAAACCATAGCAACTAATTTGAGGAAAAAAGGTTGTAATTAGGTATCGGAAGACTAGAAACACTCACTTGTTACCCCCATTTTCTGCTTTTCGTACTACCTCAAAGCTTCCAAACCATGGAAAGATGATATATTTGATATATTCTAGACAAGGGTTTCCCTCAACAATATTAGGCGGGCAGTAAGCTTTCTTTATTTTCGAATTCACATCACCCTGTAAAAGATCAGCAATCTAGTTAGAAATGGGGTTTGAACTTCTAGAACTATTCTTGTAACACAAGGAAGATGCATACTGAAAAGGAATCAAGAATATGAGAAGACACAGAAAACATACGGTAGTTTTTTATAAGGATCTTGTATTCATAATTCATCATTCAGATACCCAAAAAAATAAAAACTTACTACCAAAACTTGTATAATTCCTTCTAAGAATATGTTACCAGGAGAAGTTTCTTCTCTTGGTTCACACCAGAAGTGTGACTAAGGGATAACAAGAGGCAATGAGATTCCTGTCCAAGAAGTCTACCATAGGATTGTCAGCAAAGAGCAGCTTTAGTAGTAGCCAGTAACCGCAACTGCATACCCTTTTCCATCACTTTTATATATTAATTTAAGTTTTGACAACATCCTGAAATGACCTAATAAATGTCTGCTATCAAATTCAGTACAGGAACTGTTTATTGTCACTATCAAGAGCACTGATGTGTTCGATAGATCTCTGAATACACAAGAGGGCCAAAACTATGTTGATAACAAGAGGAAAAGGTTGAATCCACATTTGCATAAAAACACATATAATATGATCAAAACATCAGATTCTAGTTGTCTTTCTCAACAATATACCTCTTCATCCTCCATGAAGATAGAAGAAGATGGATCACTTTTTGACATTTTCTCCTGTCCCTGTTGTAACCCAGGAAGCATATCTGTTCAAGTTACGGCTCAACAGTTATTTAAGGATGACTATTACCAATAGTAGAAATAAATTTCAAAAGAAAAAAGAACGATCGAAGTAAAAAAGGATACGGTGTGAAAGAATGATTGGTTTGTTTTTCCTTTTAATATCGGTACAATATTCCCTTGCAAGGACGTTGACTTTTCGCTGATCCATGCCTAATTGGCAGATGTCAGCCTGCAATAAACGTAACAACTGGCATCAAATACAAAACAATGCAACATAAAGATAATATTTAAATGTAACATATTACAAGGTAAGTGATTGCAATAATAATAATCGGAAACATGAAAGAATAACCAGTTTTGTTGCATATGATAAAGTTGTCAAAACAAACTACACTTCTAAGCACCATTTACAATTACAATAACAACAATTATGATAAGTATGATCTTCTGGAAAACAAAACTTCTATACCATCAAAGACGATAGACTTTTTTTAGAATGGTTAGGACTCAGAAGTAGATTAAGAAAGCAAACATGTGAAGGAACCATTGAAGACAAAGATACTGATTCTTAGGGTATTCCTAGAAGTATTAACTATAACTGATAACTCAAGCCCTTTCTCATTTAAATTATTTTTTTATTTGGAAATACCAGAAGGTATGAATCCACTAGGTCTTACAAATAAATGCTCAAACTCTCTTTAAAGCAAAGAACTAACTGACCCTCTATCCAAGTTTGTTCTGGTCAAAGACAAAACATTTGTAAGTGACCTGCCAATGGTCTTTTTTCAACAATAAAAATATTTAGGATAGAACTTCTTTTGGCCTGGCACCCTGTGACATTCTCATGTCTGGTATACAATACTTTACATAATCTGATCTTACTGTGTTTGGCATTTTAAAGTGATTTACAGAAATAGAGCATGCATCCACATATTTTCCCAATTAACCTTTTTATGTAACGATATTGACGGATGACCGGTGATAATGAGAAGTTTTCGATAGTGAGAATGGTTTGTTGAAGATAAAAAAGAGAAATTTGAAGATAAAAAGAGTAGGAATGTGGATATGTTCCTATATAACCAATCTCATGATAGCCACCCTTCATCGTCACTGCCCAACTAGTCACTCACCTTTCCTCTTGACTCTCTTACTCTATAACAACCCACTCCCCCTCATCTCCACTCTCTCACTCCCTCTAGCCATAACCCCTCAATCTCTTTCTCTCTATAAATAGCAATCCATCACCAAAAGAATGAATACAATTACTGGAGAAAAACAAAACATAAACATTCTATTGCACAGAAAAGGAGCAACGAAAAGTAAAAGAAAAGAAAGAAAAGAGCATAGGTAAGCCTTGTTTCTTTATTCTTCTTTCAGGTCTCTTGCTTGCTACATTAAGATGTTGGATAGTAGTTTCGTCAGAACTCTGATAAGATAGCAACCTTGTTAAGACTCCATCAAGACAGTAACGAACAACCTCACATGTACCCCAGGAAGGGCCGACAATAAAGCAACTTCGTGCACAACCTCATATCAGTATCGCCAATAGCAATTAGACAAAGAAAAGCAACTTCGTGCAAACCACACATAAAGTTCCATAAGCGAGAAAAGGGTGGTTACCATGTAATCCACAAATTATGGCAAACCATGCACATGTAGTAGCATGCAAAAGCCTGTTGAAGCATACAAACTACTATGACCTTGCAGCAAGGTGTTGAATTTGAGACAGAAATGTCGTCAGCATTGCAGAATGAGAAGGGTGTTGTCCTGACTGTAGTCATGATGAGTTGGTTGTCCTGCTGGAGCCCTGATGAGGCAATAGTCTAATGGGAGTCCTGGTGGAACCGATGTCTTATGGGAGTATTGGTGAAACTCCTGTCTTACAAGACAGAAGCAAGGAAGAAACAAAATTTTTCTTCTTTCTTGCTTTATTCTACTTTTTCCTTCTTTCTTCTTCTTGCCACCGCTTTTCAAGTGTAATGGCGTGTTTTCTGTTTTGTTTTTCGTTTGTGTTTTGTGCGGACTGTTCTTTTATAGAGGAAGGAATGAGGGACTATAAGTGTCATCAATGTGTGACGCGCATCGCGGGACACAAAGTCCCTTTACGCGCATATGTGCAAAGCGCAATGCGAAGCGCACGCCTGAATGAAGCGAGGTGCACACTGCACACATAATTTTTTTTAAGATAAATAATCAAGCATGAAAGAACATATTTGTGAATTTTCACTAAAAATATGTCACAATAAATAATATCTACTACCAAATCACAAAATAAGGTCTTAATTCATAATGCTAAGTTAACACATCCAACCTAGTAGTAAAGTTCATAATTGTAGGGCTGTCCAAAACAGCCCCCGGCCCGGGCGGCCGGAAAACCCGGGCCAAGTACAGGCTCCGGGCCGGGCCGGCCGGCTTTTTGTGCCCGCCCGAAAGACAACGGCCGCGGAAATAGTAGTTTTTTTATTTTTTTATTTTTTATGTATTATATTATATATGTATATATAAATATATATAATATGTATAATATATGTATATATAATATATTTTTATATATGTATATATAACATATTTCTATATATGTATAATATGTCATATGTGTGTATATATATACTCTCTCTTAGTATATAAGTATATATAAGTATACTCTCTCTTATATAAGTATATATATGTATAAGTATATATAAGTATACTTTCTCTTATATAAGTATATATAAGAATACTCTCTCTTATATATGTATAATGTATGTATGTATGTATATATATATACTCTCTCTTAGTATATATGTATATATAAGTATACTCTCTCTTATATATGTATACTCTCTCTTATATAAGTATATATAAGTATACACTCTCTTATATATGTATAATATATGTATATATATATATATATATACTAATATACTCTCTCTCTTAGTATATATGTATATATAAGTATACTCTCTCTTATATATGTATACTCCCTATTATATAAGTATACTCTTTTATATATGTGTGTGTGTATACTCTCTCTCTTAGTATATAAGTATAGTATATTACAACGGTTACTTCCCCATTGGCCCAACGAGCAACGGCTACAGGGTTACTTATGCGATTCTCTCTCTCTCTTAAATTATAACTTATAAATATATACAATATATTTACATATAATATATGTATATATAATATATAGTTACATAATAATTTAGAAGTATATACTAATACATAATTATATAAAATATAATAATATTAAACTAATTTTTATTATTTTTTTATCAAAAAAAAGAAAAGAAATTTAAAAAAACCTAGGTGGGATGTACTTATCTATTGTGATGCGATGAATTCCAAAATAAATTTATACTTGTAATTTGTAAATGATTTATTAATTATTAATAAAGAATTTATTTTTATAATTTTTTATTTGTAATTTATGTCATTTTAAGTGATTAATAAAATTATTTTTTTTTGTCTTTTTTTATAATTTAAAACTTAAATAAAATTTAAAAATTTGAAAAAAAAAAATTTTAAAAAAATGAAAAAACCCGGCCCGGCCCGGAACCCGGCCCGGACCCGGCCCAGGGTACCCGGGTCCGGGCTCCGGTTTTGCCCGGCCCGGGCCCGGATTTCCGGGCCGGGCCGGCCCGGATGGACAGGCCTACATAATTGTCCAAATCAAAAATAAAATCAAGACTTATATCAAAGCAAAACCAAGTGGTAAACAAAAACAAGATAGGATCCTCAACCGGGCTACTAAAATGGCTTAATAGGTGTATTTTTCTTTTTGGGATATGGGTTATCGGGTATAAAGACCCAATTAAAATGTTAAAGAACAAAAATATACGACGTTATGCCTTGTATACAAGCCCTACATGACGCTTGTGAGGTGCCAAAAGGCACTACCACATCATATGCGGGACTCTTTGCCACTGCCCAGTATCACAGGGCGGATGAGGCGCACACCTTTGATAACACTGGGGATTAATGTCAGAAAGAATGGAAGGGTGGACGTTAGGATTTAGAAGTTAATGAATAGTTAAAGAGAGAGTGGGGGTGAAGGATGAGCGGGTAGTTGGAAAAGAAATGGAAGCTGGATGTCATCGAATTGGTTAAATATGGCATGAGACTTTTTGCAATCAAATTTCGTGAATGCAATAGTTTTTTTTCCTTAATCAAACTTCTATATATTCAACAGAGGACTCAATTCATTGGTGGTTAGGACAACCATTGTTGGTTTCCACCATCATCATCCTAATATCGACCATTATCACCACTAGTATCATTATCACTGTATTCCCAGTCATTATCCTTATATAAAAAAGAGTTAATTTGGAGAGAAAAAATGTTGTGAATATTACATTTCTATAACCCTTTAATATATCAAACATGGTGAACTGACACCATTTAGAATGTTTGCCAAATTTTGTTGTAATGCAAGATTTTCGGGAATCGAATTCCGGAAATCAAACTCGAGAAATAAGAAAACTGCATTTTGCATGGCAAAGCAACCAAGGGTGTTTGAGGATGTCAAAGAAGTTCTAATCAATAGTTTTCCAAGAAAAAGAATCGGCAAAATGTGAAAATTACTGACAAATGTTTCAACTTAAAGGTCAATAATCTTTTATTCAGGAGCCATAAGTGAAAGAGTTTACACTTTTTTGTACAACCTAGTGACGTGCAGTCATTGACTAATGCATTGTTCTATGGTGATGACTGTGGGCCTGTTGTGACGATCGACGCCACCAACTTAGTGAGTGATGGTACCAATTGGGCGGAATTGTATGATTAATGATTATAGCGCAATGACAGCAGGGAGGTAACAGTTTGTTGACACCGCACTTAGTTATGGCAATGGAACAATGATTGTGGTGATGGTGATGCTGAACATACTAATGGTTTACCATGGCAGGTCGCCAGTCGGTGATCTAAGATGGCATATTTGATGGTCATCGACAATGTGCACTACATCTAGACAGATTGTGATAATCAATAGTTCACTCGATAGTAGTGGTGGCAGCAATGACACGCCTACGACAGCATTTGACAGTGTAATAGCAGTGACAGTCCTTGTTAGTCACAATCAACAATGTCAAATTGGTGACTGTGATGGTGGTGTTGGTAGCCAGTGGTATGTGTGACGGTGATGCCTAACAGTAAAGGTAGCCACAGGGAAGAATGACAGTCAACAGCTAGAGCAACGATGGTGGAGATGGTGGTGGAGGTTATGATGTGTTACAGGCGGCGTTGTTGCTGAAGGTGTCGAGGGAAAGCAAGGTAGTGATATTTTGGAGAAAATTCATGATTGAAGTTAAATGTGAATATTGGATAACCACCTCTTATGGAAGAAATCATACTCCCATAAAACAAGGGACTGTGTGACCAATGGGAAACTAACACTCGGGGGAGTCTTTAATTCAACCTTATGCGAGTATCCGAACTCCCAAGTGGATTCCTGCTACTTAACAAACTCTTAATTGATATATAATATAAACCATTGTGCCAACAAAAGGCTATTAGCCTCTTAGCCTTCTAAATAAGACAGTATGCTCCAAATTTGAAATACACCATTACGCAGTTTGCAAAAAATAGTCTGGGTCTCTTATATCATGAACAAGGCCTACCTTCAAATGTTCATGTTCGTCCATGATGTCAAGGCTAACAACTTAAAACCCAATCATGACTTAGATTTCAGCCAGTCAACCATTCAAACAGCATAGTCATGAAAAATAACACCCAGTCTAACATTCAAGAAGCAACAATATATGTATTTGAGAATGATTGATTAAGCTTCAAGACTAACAAAAAAACCAAATCATGATTCTGATTTAAGTCTTCCAACCATTCCAACTGCATATTGATGAAAAAGCACACACCAGCATATGAATCAAAACTATATATATATTACAATAATTGACTTAATAATGATAAAGAAAACATTTAAAATGCAAGTGAGAAAAGCAACCTTCAAGAAGAAAATGTCAGCACATTGCATGCATGGATAGAAAATTTGGGCAGCAGTTAGCTCATCTGTCTCATTACGGCCCATGATCTGGCTACACCTGCATGACACCAGTTCAATGTCAATAAATAACTATAAGGAAAAAGAAAAGGAAAACAAAATATGATTTATCATCCTCCTATTATTCTAGATATTTAATCTAGAACAATACGTGAGTTGCCCCTTTGATTGCACGAGCTTAAACCGCGTGATAATTAAAGTAGACCGCCTGACTTGCAAATTGCCCTCTTAAGTTTTATTCTCTTCTCAATAATCGGCAAAAGATTTGCTACCAGCTTAGCCGGTTAATGTCAGGTTGACGGTCAGTCCTAAAATTTTGTCAAATATTTCATGGAGTCTTTTGCTCTGTAGTCAGCCCCACTTTTAGTGGGAAAAAGGACGGATAGCAATTAGACTATGATGACCTATTCAAATACAAGACCAGAAACCTATAGATATCTCATTGCATGATGAACCTTATTATTCTAGGAAGTGTGTTTCTTCGAGCAATATCCATCACAAGCGGCCAGTACTCATGTGCCCGACCATTAATTTCCTCTGAGGACCATAAAAATTCAACCTTATCCAGTTTCATTCCCACGGCTTTCCATATCTCAATCAGATAACGGCCAACAGTCTGAATTTTCTTCAAATCACCTCCCATCTTATTGTTTAGCTGGGCAAACCAATCAGCTATCCAGATTTTAACAGTGCACCCAGCTGACGTTAATTTGTTGACATTTATAGCCTTCATAACACCCTGAAAGTCACAAGAAATCATTTCAAACCACAATGAAATATGAAGACAACTTAGATTTACTCAAGTCATATTTAATATTGTAAAATTCATACACAATATTTGATAGATATAATAAGGCCTCGTATCTGCCAATACCAGCCATTAGCAAGATATTTCTAATTCCAGTCGCATGAAAATAATGAGCTGCTAGCAATAAAAAGTAAAATGTTCGGTCAAGCAAGAAATATAAAGAAATGATTGTTTGAACAATTTTGCATTAATTTGAAAAGGTATATTATGAATTAAATATACTAGAAGTCCGGAACTACATCTTTTGTGAAGCAAGATTCAAAATCATGCACTCGTCCTATTTAAGCAACCATCAAGTGGATTTCTCTACTTCAAAGGTGGGGCATAGCTATACTAGAGCATGGAAGAAAACTTAAGAACCCTTAGGACTCTTGAATATCTTCCTAATACTAAGCTAGAACTAGTAAATAGGAAAAAAAATTCAACAACTATAGATATTCCAGAATACTTTGGCTTTCAGACTATGCTCTTGAGGCAAGCCCGTATAGTTAGTTATATCTGAATATTCAAAATCTTACACTTTATATATTTTGTGGAAATATTTTCATTTGTTTTCAATTTGGATTTGTAGTATTCCCTGAATTGCCGAGTACAACTGTAATGCAAGTCAAAACTTTCTGCCAAAAAACCACATAAATTTCTAATTCTTGAATGCATGTTTTTGTATTATTTGAAAAAATTTGAAAAAAAAATAGAATTTTCCATAATCACCAACCAACAGAAGAAATGGACATCAATAGATACAATCAATCCCTAAATGACTTACTTCACTAGCATCACACTAACAAAATCTAGGTTCAACAATATATAACTACAAGACATTAGATACAAATGAAGCCAAGTAGCAATGGGTAAAGACAGGTTGAATAACGACTTTCCAATAAATGCAAGTATTTTTAGATCATAGCTAGGTGCCGGTATCTTTTAGATAAAAGTTTGAAATATATCCAAGTCTTGAAAAATAAAAATCACCAACCGTCAGGATATTTGGTTCTAAAATATTATCTCGCAATTGAAATTGATCAAAAGGTTAAATATAAACAAGCGACCTTATGAAGAACCTAAGAATAACAATGTACAGCGCACTTGATAGAATACCAAACCTTTGAAAAAAATTAAATCCGTTCAAATCACAGAACAAAATTTACATAATTCCCCGCAAAAACAATCAAACACGAGAATCTGAAACTCAGTGAGTATCAAGCATCCCAGCTAATCTAACTAAATTAGCCCAATTTTTCTTTATCAGTTACATTATCCAAATCACATCAATTGAATATAAGTAACCAAGTGAATTCAATTGGAGATGGAGGCAACAACAAAAACAACAGAGGCATCAACTTCACCAGAGCTGAACAGGGTGCACCCTGCGTGAGGGCTCAAACACAATGTCTATGTGTGCATCAGTGCATCAAGCACCTTAATCAAATCTAAGCAAATTGTGTTATGTTTTTTGTTTGACGGTTAAACTATCCAAATAGCACCAATCAAACTAAAGTAAAAAAGATGGAAGTCCATTGAAAACAAGGCATTAAATTTACAATATCTGGGCAATGTGCATCCTGCGCAAAGGCTCCAACCCAATGTGTATACGTGCATACGCATACTAATCAACTCCAACCAAACGGCATTATATTTTTCTTCTGACGGCTAAATTATCCACAAAAAAATCAAGTAAACACAAGTAACAAAGTAATCTCCCATTCAATTGTGGGACCTCAATTGAAGACAACGACGACAACAGCAACAAAGTGATCAACTTCACAAAACCTGAGCAATGTGCATCCTGCCCGAGGGCTCGAACCCATCATAACAAATAGGATTAGGCTTCTTCTCCAAGAGATTCCTCAGTTCCTCCTCTTGGATGCACTCCTCTCCCACGCTCCTCACCAACTGAAACTTCTCCTCCAAGCTCAACCTAAATTTTCAAAAAAGAAAAACAAAACAAAAGACAAAAATTAGGGTTCAGGTTTCTTCAGTTCAGATCTAGGGTTTAGGGTTTAGGGTTTTGCCTACCCATCGATAACGGGCTGCGAAGACGGCGGAGCAGGAACTTCGGAGGCGGAGGAGGATGCGGAGAAAGCCTCTGATGACGGAGCTTCGGCCATGGGAACTGGAGGGGGGATTTGAAAGGAAAGGAGACGAGAAAGGCTGAATGCTGTGGCCCGTCGACCAATGGATTTCTAGGGGTTTATTTTGGGTAGGCGCTTTTAGATATCAGTCCTAATGGGGATCAGTCATCTTGAACTTTAGGGTCTGTTTGTTTGTCAAAAAAAATTGGGAAATCAAAGAAATAGAAATCTATTTCTAAGAAGAATTGTTTTGAGTAGGGGTGAGCACAGTTCGGTTGAAACCGATTAAACCATCCGAAACCGACCGAACTTCTACATCAAGTGCGGTTTTAAAGTGTGAACGGTTCGGGTCGGGTTCAGACAATTTCAACCCGTATTAACCGACCCGACCGAACTTCAACAAGTCATCTGCTACCCGTAACCCATACCCATTACCCGATTGTATAAAACCCCTCATTCTCTCAGTCTCAGACACCAAAACCCTAACTCTCTCTAGCCGACAATCCATTTCCTTGCCTCTCCACCCCTCACCTCCTTCCCTTCTCTTCTCCCCTCCCTCTCTCTCCCTCAAACAACCATCCCTTCAAACCCACTGGAGAGCGCCAACTGGCTATGCCGCCGCCCTTCTCGACTTCGCGGGCGGTGGAGGGGGCGGCGACGTCGATTTCGACGGAAGCTGTGTGTTTACGTCGGCGATGAAGGCCATGGGATCGGTAAAGGTTGAGGCTATGGAGTTGAGGCGGCGAACGGTGAAGAGATTTGTGGAGGATTTTAGATCTGACGATGGGCCGGGCCGAGATGCGGTGGATGAGGCGATTCGGCACTTATATTCGCCGGATCTGAAGGCTGGGTGGGGGGATTCATTGTTTAAGGATGTGAAGCTTCTTGCGAGGAAAGAGGATCGAGTGGAATTTGATGTCGCGATCCAGGAGCTCATAGATCTTGGGATTCAGAGGTATTTTTCTTTATTTTTTTGGGGTTCTTGTAGATTTTTTCTTGATTTTGGTGGGCTACTTCAGGTATGAACTTTTCCTAGTGTAAACCGACCGCACCGAACCGAACCGTATCACTTCGGTTCGTTCCTAGTGTAAACCGACCGCACCGAACCGAACCGTATCACTTCGGTTCGGGTCGGTTTTCTTTTGGGGTCGGTGCAATCCGGTTGTTAAATATTTTGTCGAAACCGACCGAACCGACCGAATGCTCACCCCTAGTTTTGAGAGTGTTTGGTTTGCTTAAAAAAATCAAAAAAATTGAGATGAGATGAATTGTCACATTATTATAGGATGATGTGAGTGATTTTTTAAGAAAAATTGTTTTGATGTTGTTTGGTTGGCGAAAAAAATAATGAAATAAATTATAAGAAACATATTTCTTGTAATAGGTTGTTTTCTTTTGTTTGGTTCATTCTTAAAAATAAGAAAATAGATGAGATGAGATGAGTTGTCATTATATTATTGGATGGTGTGACCCACACTTAAGGAAATTGTTTTCCTAGTTTTTTGGGAGGAAATAGGAGGAAATGAAATGTTAATGAGATGAGATGAGTTGTCACCATCTTATTGGATGATGTGAGTGATTTGAAATGATGAGATGAGATGAGTTGAGGGGCTGTTTGGTTCCTTTTTTTGGGGTGGTAAAAGTGGTGAAAGCTACCAAAAATGTCAGATTTTTGGCAGCTTTCCCCCAAAATCACCCCTTAAAAAGGTGATTTTGGGGAAAAGCTGCCAAAAAGCTGACATTTTTGGCAGCTTTCTCCTCTTTTACCACCCAAAAAAACCTATCCAAACAGCCCCTGAGTGATGTTGTGGATGAAAATAATATTTTATTAGACATGGTGGATAAGTTGTTGGATGAAAATAATATTTTATTGGATGTGGTGGATGAGTTGTTAGATGGAAATAATATTTTATTAGATGTGGTGGATGAGTTGTTGGATAAAAATAATATTTTATTAGATGTTGTGAGTGAGTTTTAGGGATGGAAATGGATGAAATTGTACTTTTTGAGTTTTCTTGGTTTTCATTTCTATTTTTGGGTTTTTAGGAAATAACCAAATAGACCCTTATAAGTTGAACTAGGATAATCGGTAAAGTGGGATAATTTTTTGACACTGGGATAATTTAGTGGAACAATGATGAATAATTCTTGAAGTGGAATAATTTGGTAGGATAATTTGGTGGGATAATGATGGATAATATTATAAAGTTGCATAATTTGGTAGGATAATTTGGTGGGGGTAATGGTGGGTATATATTACTATTGTTAATAATTGTATATTAAAATAATATAAGATTGATAAGCAATTGATTAGTCTAGTAATAACTATAAAATATAATGCAATAAAGCATCATTATTCATCTTAAATAATAAAATATTTTACAACTAAATAAAAATCTAAATCCCTAGAGTGACTCGACTTCTATCATCACACATGGCTTCTACCATAGAATTCTCCAAGCTCCTGCAGCTGCTCGTTGAGTCTGTAACTCGTCTTTTTCATCGGAATCAGCATCTGCATCAGCAACATTTCGTGGATCTTCTAGTGAAGGATCAGAAATGCCGAAGTCATCATTTGTATTCTCCAATCTTAAAAAGTTATGCAGTCCTACGCATGCAACGAACATCTTTATTTGTGTGACATATGGAAAACCTGGAGGTTGGCTCTTGAAAATAGTGAATCTAGACTTAAAAACTCCAAAGATGCACTCGATATAATTTCTAAGAGACGCATGCCGATGGTTGAAAACTTCTTTTGAATTTCGTGGTCGTTGTCGATTATTAGCACGACCGAACTCTGAAAGATGGTACCTTTGACCTCGTATGGAGCAAGAAATTGTAGCCTATTTGGATAGCCACAGTCAACTAGATAAAGTTTATGTACAAACAAGAAAAAAATATGAATGAGAAAAAATATTATAAAACTAAAAAATATTATTTAATTGATAGAATACTATGTAAAGATTATTACTTTGTGGAAGTGGAAGTCAATAAGGTCTACTCATTGCATCCTTCAAGACTCTTGCATCATTAGCAGAGCCCTCCCACCCAGCTAAGACATAAATGAATTTGAGATCAAATGTGCAAGCTCCCAAGACGTTCTGAGAGAGAAAACCATGTCTATTTCTACTAGTATAATGCACGTGCGTTACACGTGGACATATTTGTTTTATGTTCTAATACTTTACACATTTCTTACAATTTAGATCATATACTTCTTAAGATTTAAGTTTTGAACTATATAGGGGTTTATCTGTAAAAATTATAAAGTTTCAATATTTTTCTATAAATATATAAAATTTCAATGGTCTTTGTGAAAATTATGAAGATCCATGGTTGTTTGTTAAAAAATTCAAGGTTATTTTGTGAACATTGGCAAATCATGAAATACCCAAAAGATACAATTTTTTTAATCTTAAAAGACATAGTTCTATTTACTTTATAATTTAAGATAATGAATGATATTTAATAACTACTGGTAGTTTTATGTGAAAATTTAGAATATAGTTTTAACATTAGGGAGGTTATAATATGCTTATTATAAAAAAAATTTACCCAAAAGACAAAAATTCCAAGTTTGTTCTTTACTTTTATGTTAAGTGTGTCATGCTATTCCAGTTTATATTAATTATCTTTATTTTTGCTAATCCATTATAACAAAATAAAATTCTCACTTTCACATTCGCTCTCTTCTATTATCATATAATTAGTAACATGCTACAAAAAAATCTACTAAGTTCATGGATAATACAATATTTCTCTCAAATCATAATTAAGTACATAGTAATAATTATAGAAATAGAAAAAAAACGTTCATTAACCCCCTATCCCCCAAAATAGACCTCAAACTTTAGCCTCAATCCGAATTCTCCACATTTCCTATCAATCGTATCCTCAATCCGCATATAGCCGTCAGTCTAACAATCACATCAGTATAAAGTATAATCCGAGTAAAGCTCAATACTTCCTCAGCACAACTTCAATCGTCTTCACCCCCCTCCCCTCTTTGTCGTTATCTCTTCTGAAGGGATAATATTTTTACTGGCGAGGTTGTATCATCCAAATAATATCATAGTAAAGCCATGGGGTGAGTATAGGATGCTGTTAGGGTTGTAAGAGGTGAGTGTAAATCTAAACCATCAAATGAGCGAATTTATATAGGTTGCAAGTAAGAGCTATTATGATAAATAAAAAAACAGGCTCTTTGGATTCCGTAATAGTCAAATTTAATTGCCACTTAAATAAAAACTATAATTAAAAATGTAACTCTCATTTCAAGTATGCATGAATGCATGTACTAATGGTATTTTAAGTTGATACTTTGTTTGCAAATTGAAACGTTTATTATTAGTTTGTCATATGTGCGTTTTAAGTAGAGGGGTTACAAAAAATAAAAGTTAATATTAGTGGACAATTAATAGGAAAGTTATGTTATTATTAAGAATGTATGCATGTAAGCATTTTAAGTTGACACTTTGTTTGCAAATTAAAACGTATATTATTAGTTTGTTATATGTGTGTGCATTCAATTCTCAGCTATTATGTCAAATGCAACTTAAAATCTTAAAAAAATTTATGATAACATTAATATTGGATTAGTGGAGGGGTTACAAAAAATAGAAGTTAATATTAGTGGACAATTAATAGGAGAGTTATGTCATTATTAAGAATGTATGCATGTATATGTATGTGTTTATATGTATGCAAGTATGTGTTTTATGGATGCATATATGTGGTTTGGAGGGTATTTTTGGAAGAAATATTTTAACATACCAACACACTTTTATAATAGTATTAGATTAGATAAGGCGTCTGATCTATGTTATACACCATGCACTGTATATGAATCCCATCTATTGCACCGATACAGTCCTGAATAATCAATGTGTCAGACCATCTCAAGTGATGTGTGTGTGGGCGCGCAAGCGTGTGTGCATGTGTGTGCGTCTTCGTGTGTGTAAAATCTTAAGGAATAAGAATTACCTTGAAATAAGGCCAAAAGCGAGATTCTGATTTAACATTATCAGGTGGATCAGTAGGGGGTGATGCCATCAATCATGATACTAAAGATACCATGACATATAATGCTTTATTGAAACATACACTGATAGTCAATTTTGAACGATCAAATCGATCAGTTGCAACAGAGTATCGTTGATTC